AAGAATGCCAGTATGTCTTTAGGAATCTGGCTTAACAGAAGAGTTAATACACACAGTTTGATTTCATTTGCATTTAAGAAGGCTAACTTGATAATTTTAGTGAATGATAAAACCTTTTAGGCGGAGCTCAAAGAAAAAATTTCACAGGATAAGCAGAAATAGTAAACTGTCTTAACACTCCCCTAACCTGATTCCAAACTACCCATCATCCACTCTAGAAATAAGCAAATCAGAGCTTGGCAATGGTTCTGCAAGTAGCTTGGAGTAATTTCAAACACCTTAGGTGATCATCTTGATTTAGAAACAACTTAAAAACAAAGAACTTGGCAATGTCATCACCAGGTAAATACAAATGCTTGTAGATTAAATTATTGCATTAACCGATGGCAAAGATTGGACATTTGAAGAGGTATTTGAACTGTGAAGAAAACTTTTTCCAACCATCTTTCCAGCTGCTGTTCAAAATAGAAAAAGAAGAAGAAAATAATAATAATAATAATAATTCAGAGGCAGAGATGATACTGCTGATGATTAATTCATGATTTCATGAATTCAAGCTGACTCCCCAGGGGAGCCTATGGTCTCTTCAGCCAAAAAAGTAGTCATAAGACTGGAGCAGGAACATGATACCAGCTCAGTCCCACCATAACCTGACCCTAGAAGAAATCCCGAGTCCTAAGCCCTTCAATTTATTTACCCCTCAAAAGGGAACAGACGATGCAGTTATGAGTAATTGCTGTAAAAGCTCATTTGCCCTTGGCAGAAGTGCAAACACCCATTGATAACAATCATTTTCCCAGACCCTGGTTTATACTTCTTCATTAATCTTCCAGTGCCCGACTCTTGAATTGTCCAAGACTTCTGTGAGTTTCATCTCCAACTTAGCATTCAGATTTGAGGAATCATTGCAGCCCACACCAGGAAGCAGTCGTCAGCTCTCTATCTCCCAAGAAAGTCGCTGCACGCCTGCTTTCTCTGGGATGACACACAATCTCTGCAATTGAAATACGCCCAAGGACATCACCCAAAGAACTTGTTTCTCTTGGACCCACCAAAGGATAAAATGTTCTCTATGTCATCTGCTAAGATAAACACCCTTCCCCAAATGCTGCTTTTTAATTGGCTGGTTGGGTTGATCCCAAGTATGTAACCAAGTGAGAAAATTCCTCCTGATTCCTGGAAGCTGTGACAAGGATGACCTTATTGAGTAGAGTGAAACCATTTTTTGCAGGAAACACTCCCCTACTGCAGGAACTCGGCCCATTGTTCACGTTCAGCTCCACAGCTCGGTGATCAGCTCTACAAGCCTGACTGCTAAAGCTATAGAGATTCAACACAGCTATGCTGTCAGAGTGGGGGAAAGGAATTAGAGTGTGAAGTGAATGAAATACTTAAAAGCCACATATGGTCAGAGGCTATGAAAGATCCAAGGATCTAACTCACTTAGGTTTCAAGAGTAAACAATTATAATAAATTAGAAGTCATTAGCACGATAGCTTCATTTATTGGTATCCTCATAGGAATGGAAAATTGCTAAGAGAAAAATCTCTACATCCTTGACTCTGGGGAGCAGTTTAGAAATGCTGCCTGCAATAAGGAACAAGCTTCAGGACAGAGCCTCAAAAACAATCCCTTTTGGTACCTCCAAAATCTACCCTACCATGGGAAACCAGCTTGCTTCATGCGACTCTTCCAAGAAACGTGCCCCCCTACCAGAAAAGCAAAACATGCACCCTGAAACTCACTGCTCTTTATGACATCATAAAGTTTATCTTACATTTTGCCTTTGAATCACTGTCAATATGTTAATGTTTATGAGAGCTACTGACTGATTTCTCAATGCGATATATTCTATTTTTCAATGGGGATTACTATTACTCAAAGTTAAAACCAACAGGTCTTACACAAAATTACCTGCAAAAGTATTCCACAACAGCCTGAGTAACAAGACTTGCTTCTTTCTTCCTTCCTTCCTTCCTTCCTTTCTTTCTTTTTTTTTTTTTTTTTTTTTTGCAGATGGAGGCGGCTTCCTTCGTGCTCAGATTTTAAGTTGAATTTTTAAAATTTATGTTTTCTTTTAAATTTAGTGGGAAACTTTCTTCTTGTTTGGAAAGATTTGCTTTCCCTCTAGATATCAAAGTGATTTAAGAAATCAGCCGAGCAGCTTTAAAAAAGACAGCTCTCCAGGACTAAAATTACTGCACTCACAGTCACAAGCACGAGTATTTCAGCAGGATTACAGTATCCAACACCAACATGCCGTCAGGTGATGTTCTGCCTGGTGAAAAACATTTCCATTTCTCATTTTACTTAAACACCTGCTCGTCTGCCTAGGAGATGGAGGACCAGACACTGACATGGGGATTACTCAATCAAAACATCAACTGCCTCATGATGTTTTCTAAAACCTCATGGTTTTTCTAAGTCTGTAGCTTTCTCTCTACCCCAACGCCATGCATGCACGGCGCAGGCTGGCGATTCTTAGCGTTGGTGGAAACTTTTTCTCCTTTGTCATTAATTTACCTGATAATGTTCGCTTCTGCTGCAATCACTTAGACTTTATAAAAATAGAAAACAAAAGGATGAGAAAATTCAATAGCTTTAATTCCAATTTATGTCTTTCACATAATTCGAACTTTTGATGCATTGGTTCCACCAAAACTGTGTTAAGCATTTAACTATACCCAGTAAAGAAATCATGGTTTCCTTATGAATGACAGTTTGTTATCGTACCTTTCTTAAATTTCTAAAATAAACTTCTGATTCTGAACGCAACTGTTTAATAACAAAAACGAAAAACTCACTTTGAAAGCCTGGTATTAATGAAATTCCCAAGAAGGCACTAATGGGATTCCCATGATCTAATACATGTCAGGCTTTAACTGTAATTGTAAACCCACAGACGGCTGATGATCTGAAAATATGAACTATTGTAGCCAGTTTTTATGGGTTTAATTTCACTGGGAAAATCCCAGTTTCTCTTTTTAAAATCTCAACTACAGAAAAACCATGACACAAAAACCATCACACATTTTCAAAGCAACATCTGCAGGAGGAAAGCACTGAATGAACAGGGCAAGAACATCATTGCCGATAGTCATCCTATCCACAAACCATAACGAACTTCTCAAGGGCAAAGCTGGGCAAGACCTCAGCCCATGACCCAGGTGCAGCTCACTTTCAAAGCTCACACTACCTGTGAGTCACTTCATTTCCCTCTGACTTATTTCCCACACCAGGTTCACTAAACCACAGAACTTACTCAGCCTGCACTGACAGGGTGACTGTTTACGAAGGCGATTTATTATTCTATTTCTGGCAGGTTTGCTTCTGTGATCCAATTCTGTGACTCCTACAAGCCTAGAAAGTTGCCTTCAAGTTAATGCAGGCAAAGACCCTGGACATTTTGCCAGCACTAGTCTATATCAGGGAACGGGGGAGAAGTTGCTCAGCTTGGTCCCAGGAAGCTCCCGGAGGCCAGGTCTGAACACACTGCTGATTGGAGATCTGTCACTTGCCATGGAAATGGAGCCTCTCTTTTCTCTTCAAAGGGACTGTAGATAACATAGCAAACGATGCTTTCTGCTCAAAACAAAATTCAGCCGACTTCCCCTTTGAAACATAAAAGCAGATAACCAACAAAAAGTTGGAACGAGGGAGGATAAGCCCCTGTTTCTCAAAATGTATCACAATAAAAATGCAATAATAATAATAAAGAGCATTCACTCAAGGGCATCACAAACATGTAAAAATATCAACTTTACAGATCTCTACCCTATTACTAAAATGTCTCATTGGTTTCTTAATTCTGGTGTACATTAACAGCAGTGTTTTTTTATTTTTCTTAACTCAGTATTTTAAAATAATCGAAAGATTTGTTCTGGGATAGTGAACCTAAACCCACTTTGCAAATTTCACTTCAAAGAGTAAATGAACATGGCGCTTACTTTATCATCACAGGCATGTAGGAATTGATTTACAAAGGACCTCATTGTGGATGTTTAATATTTATGTACTGATTGTTCTATTGAGACTTTGCATTGTTCGCAAGTAACTTCTGGCTGGAATGTCTGAAAAGTCATTCAAAGAGGCTCCTTTTCCAAGGAAGTATACTTCAATTAGTTTATTTCATGCGACCTCTACACCCAAGCCTGAACTCAATATTTCTTTTGGTTTAGAAATATTATGTTTGCCTTTAACAGAAATTGTGACAAAATGGACTCAACATTTTTTCCCCCTCAAGGCACTCTGAAATTTGTAGCTTAATGTCCTCAAAAATTTTTCCCCCACATCTTGGGATTATTTTCTACAAAACCTACAACTTCCTGAATGTATTCATGAACTTCCCCAGGTCTCAGCTGTTTGTAGACAGCAAAGCAGTTGTGAGGGACTTTTTTTTTTTTAACGTCATCCTTGGTTTTCAGTCACTTCAGACTAAACGAGTCCGCCTCCCTGGCGGCGGCGCGCACCCTCAGCGCTTCGGACTGCAGGACTCTCCGAGGGCGCTGTCACTTTTAGCCAGGGTCGCAGAGTTCCCGGTTTCGTAGTGAACCTTGGAATCGCGACCTACTCAGGACAGTCTCAGGGGACCAGGGACGTAACACCTTAAGTTCTCTGGCAAAGACCATCTACAACCCCACCTGCAGAAGCCGCACTTGGGACGCTGCGTAGCGTCACCGGCTAGAATTTTCTGACTGAAAAGCACAGCAAGGAAGGAGTAAGCGTTTTTTCGCAGGGTTCCTCCAAGGGCCGGGCCGCCTTTACTGGAATTATACTAAATGCAGCAAAGGCGCCTTTACCGGGACCCGTACCCGGCCTTGCTTGGCTGGGCAACAGACGCTTCGCCAAGCCCGCAGCTGGGGAGTTCAGATGCCTAACTGGGGCTCAGGCGAAGGATCCCTTGGCCCCCTTCCCTCGGCCGGCCGGGAAAGCAGAGGGGACAGAGGCAGGGGCGAAAGTTACTGCAGCCCGTGTACCCCGCCCCCCGGCGGGTATCTTACCCGGACAGGAATGCAGGGGCTTGGGGCGCACGACCAGAGACGGGCACACGGAGTACAGGGAGAGTTTCTCAAAGTAGTCGCAGGTCTCCTTGGACAGGATCTCGTCGATCATGAAAGTCTTGTAGCGCCGCCTGGCTGCCTTGAGTTGGCCGGGCGAACTCAGCCTCAGCTCGGCGTGGCAGTGCATGGTGAGCCGCGGCGAGCGCCCGCCGGGCGGAGCGCGACTGCGAGTGCCCGGACGGGGCCGCCGAGTCGGGCTGGCGCGCCAGGGGAGGGGAGAGCTGAGCTCCGTTCCTCTTGCAGCCGGGCAGGCGGCGGGGCGGGGAGCACCGAGAGCAGCGGGCAACGGGCGCGCCTGCTGCGCGTCTACACCCATCCGAAGAGCAGCATCTTTGCAGAGCCTTTTGGGGACCAGGCGGCTGTCAATCAGAGCGCACTTCCTGCGGACCAGGTGCCGGGTATAAGCCGAGGGGCGTCGGCGCCCACCCCGCCCCCGCCCGCCTGGGAGACCCGCGCGTCACCCTGCGCGCCTCGCGCCTCGCTGCCCTCACCGCCTCCCGCAGCTACCCCGGTGTCTCACGCTCCCCTGCCGGCGTCTCTATTTTAAGACACCAGCTTGGGCTCTCCTCCCCACCCCCTCTCGGGACAAGCTCCAGGTGTGCGCAGGGCGTGCGCGCACGCGTGCCGCGCGGCGGACAGTGCGCGCCGCCCCCGCTAACGACCTGGGCCGGGACCGTGTCCAGCGGCACCTTCACGCGATCTTGGCTGTCGCCAGCGTCTGGCTGGGATGCTGGTGCGCCCAGGTCTTACTCGGCCAAATCTCCAGATGCCGAGAATCAGAGAACCGAAGCCCCCGAGAGCCCCTGTGCCTTCCTCGATTCCTGCGTGGACTGTGCCCGAGGACCGCGGCCTCTCCATCTTCAGATGGAAACCCAGCAGCCTTCACCGACTTAGGCGATCGGGACGTTTACACCGAGGGCGCAAACTGAAGCTACTAGACTTTTGTAAATGATCCTGGCCCCAGCCGTTATCCTTATCATAACCTACAAATTGGTAATAAAGGTGTGCATTCGTTTTTATGTTAAACTCTGGTTGTAACCTGTCTTTCCTCGCCAGCCAGGGCCAGCGCAGCCTGTTTCCAGGCTGCCGACGGGTCCCCGGACAGTGGGCCCCGTGCGGGCTGTTGCCAGCGCTCAGTCAGTCCCCAGGTCCCACCATACGCGACAGGGTATGCGCTGCCACAAAGACTCAAGTTTATTGAGAAGTCTGCCTTTTTCCTTCAGGGCTGTCACTCTCCGAGTCCGTACCAGCCCGTTTCTGTGCGAACTTTCGTTTTCAATCTCAATTTGGGTGGAGGGCACCCACCAGGCCTCCAAGTCCCTGGGGCTCCCGCTGCGTAAGCCGCGCCCTGCAGTTGGCTGGCAGTGGCAGGTGCGCGCCCATTTCCAAGATTTGTCTTGGAATTGGTGTGTTCAGAAATGGAAAAAGAAGAGAGAAAGAAATAAAGACCGGAAGGAAAGAAGAAAGGAAGGAAGGGAAAGAAAGAAAAGAAAAAAAGAAAAGATAAGAAAAGATGCGGTCACTGAAAATTAAAGACGCAGACGGCCTTCTCCAAAAGCGAACGACATCTGCCCTCCACTCCCAACCTGGAAGCGGCCGCGAATCTCAGCGGGCTTCCGGCGAAGCCTATTGCAGAGTGGGGATAGACACGGAGCCGAATGTTAAACTTGGCGGAGGAACACAGAATCTCGCGCTAAGAAGAAGGGAAAAGAAAAAAAAAAAACAACAAAAACAAAAACAACCTATTAATAGGCGGATCCTAGTACTAGACGTGGCCCTCAGTGCGTCTCGGAGAAACTTCCTTACAAAGCTGTTATTACGTGCCCGGGTTTCCCTCCCTGCTCTTCGTTTACGACCGTTTTCCTTCATTTTCCTCCTCCTCCTCCCCCCCGCGCCAGGAAACTTGAGGGCCCTAGAAAACGATCGTCAAGGGCCGCGTGCAGTGCAAGAAACCCGAGGTGGCCTCAGTGGGCCCTGGCGCGTCCTTGTTTTCTCTGTGGAACCAGGCGTCCTGTCCTCTGGCGGGTACAGCGGTCGTTCAACCAGGGCCTTGACGGGCTAAGATTGTCGGAGCGCAGAAGGAGCTGGGGCCGGATAGTAACAGCTCAGGGATTCAGGGGAAGGGAGCTGCGTTCTTCCAGGGAGCATTGAGTTCTATTTGCCAGCCGGAAAATGCTGAGCAGTCCCCGCCCCCAGCCTCCTGCAGTGTCTTGGAGGATCTGAGAGCACCTGGCGGGAAGGTGACCCAAAAGCAATGTCACCTGCAGGGCCGGCTTGGAACTTGCCAGTCCCCTACCTGAGCGCCTCCTTGGCCTAGGACAAACTGAGTGCGCCGACCCCCGAGCGCAATCCGGGTGCTCCCAGCTTGCGCGCAAACAGCGTTACTGTTAAGTCCTGTCATTGTCCTACCTGGCATTTCCTTCTCCTTTCTATCCCGCTCTCCAACTCTTAATTGCTTTCCAGCGTCACCAAGTCCCTGCAGGGCTTTCCAACCTCCCAGTAGAGAACAACTGTAGCTTCTCTTTTCTGTCTTCCGCCCTCCGTTCGCTTCTCCCCAGGGTCCATCTCCCACTTATTTTTCCCTCCTTCCTCGCTCTTCCCTCCAAGTTTCTCGACCGCCGCTCCTGCAGAGGCCCCTGGTTAGCAGTCCGATAGCCAAAGCCTAGCCACCTCTCCTGCTCGCTGGTTTGGCCTTTTGCAGGCATCTCCTCCCGGCTTCCGGTCGGCCGTCGGCTGTCGCGGACACTCTTGTTATGTTATTATTTTTTAATTGGCGGTGTTTTCACAGCTGAAGAAGTCAAATATTTATACTGAGCACCTCGGATTCTCTCTCTCTCTCTCTCTCTAAATCTTTGCTTTTCCCATCAAGAGGAAAGAGTTTGCAGCCATCAAGTTCTGCAGGCAGAGGTGTTCAAGAGATTTCAGCTCCTGGAGTGTCCTAACTAGCTCTCCCTTGCTTCTGACTTAAGATGCGTCTGAGCCTTCACTTGCAAACAGGAAATCCTCATTCCTGCACCACAGGTTGTCCTTTCTTCATCCCAGCTCCTGCCTCTGGAGTAGCACGCTCTTTGTTTGTTGCACGTTTATTCCACGTTAGAGGATGAAGTCCCGGTGTGCAACCCACTTGGCGTCTGCTCCGTAAATGTGCCATGAGTGGTGAAAGTATAAAACCCGGGAACCTTAAATTACAGAAGGCGTTTGGTAACAGCAAACCTTAGAATTTATACTAAATGAGACTTTTGAATGAATCCCTTGTATCTTGGATAATTCTGAGGTTTTAAGCAGTGGCATGCAGTCTGATTCCTTCTGCTCCCATGTCCCTCTTTTTACCCAGAGTCCTCTGAACCCAGACACCTTCCTTGGGAGGAAGCACATCCCAGCTGCCAATCACCAAATGCGGTTTCAGTTGGAAAAAGCAGGCAACTCGTTTCCAACATTAGTGAAGTGATACAGCAGAAGACATCTGCCAAAGTGACTCAAACTTGTGCCGGCTGCTGGAGACCCACAGACCGGTCCCAGCCTCCGGTGACCGTACCCAGGCAATGTCTGCCCTGTGCCCACCAGGAAAACACTGCCAAATTGTTGTCGCAGGGCCAATTTTAGACCTGCAGGGAAGGGGATACACATTCAGACTTCTCAGGAGGCTTCAGGGGATTCCCTAACCTACTTCTGATTCCTGGAGCCTGAGCCCAGCCAGAAAGAAGGGGACAAGGACTCTGCAAAGTCAGGGCTGGAGGTGAGGACAGCAGGAAACCAAAGAATTAGTATACAGTTTCACCTCCCACACAGTATTTCCCCAGTCAACTACAACCACTGAAATGTAATGAAATAATTTTTTAAACCCTAGGGTGACTTTTAAGTTGCATCTAGGATCTGACCCGAGATGGTCTCAGTTTAATTTTCAGTTTCATTATCCTATTGCCATGTTGAGCTGTGTGTTGAAGTAGATATTTGGGAACAGCCTGGACATGTCTCCTAAGGACACTCACTCATTTCTCAACCTTCTTTTCTCTAAAATGGGGGATGGGAATGAAAACACTTCTAACATTCTTGTAAAGTGCATTTAGTAACTTGTATTTCAGCTGCTAAGTTTTGAAATAGTTTCAGACACGTAAAAGCAAAATAAGGAAAGCCTCGTAAGTTAATATTCCCCTGGGCCTCAGAGCCATGCCAAAGCTGCTGTCTGTGCAGGCCGGCTGGGTAGCCTCGGATAACAAGTTAAGGGAGGTGTAGGAGGAGGCCAGCTTATTACTAATGATGATATTAATTTACAAACCTGCTTGTGCATTTCATTAGAGCGGCCACATTTGACAAATGGGCATGGGGAGGAGTGCGTAGATCCTTCTTTATTTTCTCCCAAACAGCTTTCTGTTACTTTTCATAGCAAGATTGGGGCTTGTAGCCACAGGGCACTGACGTTTATATGAAAGATGGAAGCATAGTAAATCATACTGCTGTTTCCAAAATTTTAGAATCTTGGCACGCAGATTAAAACAATCAGATTCTCCTTTTGAAAATCATGCTATCCTGACATGCTATCATATTTCTGCCAGTGCCCTGTGTGCCTCAATTAGCCCAACTGATAAAGCTAAAAAAAATTAATAAAATTTAGTATACTCTGATTTTGTCAAAGCGTTGTGAAAAAATATCTGCAAGTTTGCAGCAACAGGGTTTAGGTTCCCCCCTCCCCAGTGATATCGCTTCCCTGATGAGAAAGATGAGAGAAGCAGCATTTAAAAAGTGGATTGGAACAGCGTCCTGGTGTCTAGGATGGGAGCAAAGACTATTGGAACAGACAAGCCAGCTTGTTAATATGGTAATAATCCTCCACCAGGTCCCCAGAGGTTTGCTAGGAAGTCCAAGAGAGGTTATGTACACTGCTGACTCATACAACGCCAACCTCCCCAAGCTCTTTAGTTTTCAATAAAATAAGCAGCTTGCTGTTTAAAAACAAACAAACAAAAAACAACAAAAAGTATGACATTTTGAAAAGCACTGGAGAATGCCTCTCCACTTTCCTGTGTGTTTAAAGTTGGATTTTGCTCAGTGTTCAAAACCTGACTCAACAGAGGACAAAGGAGTGGGAGGGAGAGGAGTAAGCAGACTATCATTAGCTAAGGGAATCAGCCTTGGCCACCTAGGTCCCTAACTGCTACTGAACATCTGGCCCTGTAGTCCCAGACTTAGCACATCTGCAGGCGTCAATCAGTGTAATCAGCACCACTTCACAGGAGACTGGGTCATTTATAGTTTTTACGTGTTTTCATCTGCCAAAAAATGCCGTCATCTTGCACCTATTGGGTGACATCTCATCCAAATCATCCCATTAAATGCTTTTATTCACTTGTTG